GGGAAAACTCAAGGCTGAGGGTGAGGGGTGGAAACAGGAGACAAATCAGCAAAATAGGGTTAAGGCAATACAAAACCCTTAGCATCTCCAGACCAGCCACCTTTTCTCCTAGCTCTTCCAACCTCTTTCGCTTAGGAAAAGAAAGATGGGAACACCTACAGCCACACTCCCCCAGACTTTGTAACCACAGGAAACCCAGCCAGACTTCCCTGCAGGATCCTTTCAAAATACAGGAAATCCCCAGTCTTGTCCTTTGTACTCTTTTTTTTTCTGTCAAAAGAAAATGTCTAATGCCAAGTTCAGATTTTACTACTCTGGTTGCAGTAAAATCTGAGTGAAATATATTGTGACCTCCTACACCTTAGCTGAAGGAACAGGAACTTTGAAACCTACTGCCACTGAGCCCTCTTTCCAAACCCCTGCTTTCCCCCAGATGCTCATTCCACACCGGAGCTAAATATGCAACAACAAAAACATGCTATTAAATTTCACAAAAATACAATTAAAAAACCCCCACAAACCTTTTTCCTACTCCTGCTAACTGTTAGTGCTCTCATCACCAGAGCCACACAAGGGGCACCAAACCTGTTGCACACACACACATCTACATAAGACACACACAGATGTACACAGTACACATTATAGATTCTGACACACAAAATGCCACTTTGCTGCACGTCTGCTCAACACGTCACATTTGATACTGCACACAGCTGAGGTCCACAGGAATGCAACAAACTTCACCTTAATTCAAAAGATTGCACCAGTGATGTACAACTTGCAAAACTAAATCAGCTCTATGGAGAAAACACCAACCCAACCACATCACCACCGGGGCAATGGGAGAGCCTGCAGCCATCCAGGCCATGTTTTGTGGATCAGCAGCCCTCTTTTTGGAGATGGGGGAAGACCACCAGCACAGACAGTAATCTTTAGGCTGGTCACAGGATATGAATAGTTCACTTCAGGGCATAACCTACTCAGTAAACTGTGGGATGTGTTGCTTTCAGGAGGCAAAGCAAATTGTCTGTGGTTAAACATGTGAAGAATGAAGCAGTCAGCATCCAAAAGCAGCCTTCACAAGAACTATATAAAAAGGAGAAACAATCTTAAAACATATCCTAGGATCTAAAATTTCCACCTCTCAGCCTCCTCCTCCATCAAATCACAACTTCCTTCTCCCCCAGTCTGCAGAGCTTCAGGAAAGAACAGACCTGGAGGCATCGCTCATCACTCAACACAGTATTCTAAAAGATAGAAAAAGTGCCCCTTGGGTTTGGGAATCTGGACCCACACCAACCACACCTTCAGGTGATGGCTTTTCCCTGGCTCACTCAGAGCTCCACCAACAGCGAACTCCAACATCTGGGCTCCCAAACAAGCTCCCAAAGAAGCCCCAGCCTGGATATATCTCTCTGGGCACATACAAAGGCAAAGAGGGGTCTGAACACACTGAAAAACTGAAGAGGAGACAGGAAATAAAGTTGAAAAAGTGACAAAGAATCTGCTTGACAAAAAAACAGCCCAATGAGTTTTAGTCTCAGATGATGTAAAGCCACGAGCCAGCTAGCTGTGATTCCCAGCACAAGGAAAATCCAAGGGGGATTTGTGGTTATTTGGCAACATGGCACCTCACTCCTTTCCACGTCTTTTGAAACGTGTCTTTTTTAGCCCTAACAAGGACAAGCTCATGCATGTAGACAAGAGCAGCCCACTAAACTCCCACCAGGAACACACCTATTGCTTCCTTACACCTCACCTGTAGCTCTGGAACTGCCCCACAATGCAATACACTGGGTAAATGTAATGTCATCTCCTCCAGGAGTCACTCCACCTTACTCTTTTACTTCCAGGAAAGTAATTCAGAGGAAATTAGATGCATTTTCGGTATTGAAGGCCATCTTTTTTCTCTCCCTTCCTGTTAAATCTTGGGAATAAAAAGCAGCTGGAACTACAGAGCCCAGAGGTGACTGGGAGGCCAGGCTTGAAGCAATGGATTAGTGCTGATGCAAATCCATGTCAAACAGAAGCCATTTTATGGGACATGGGGTAGAATTCCCCCAGGATCCAGGTGTAGTGCCAGGTGGAACAGGTGGGAATTGCAAAAACATCTCCCTAGGAGTTGTTTTGTCTCATGATGAGACTGTCATCTGATGTGATGCTCTGGAACAAAAAGGGAGAGACAGCATCCAAATAACCAGCCCCTTGTAGGTGCTTGATTTTAGGAAGCAATTACCCTCTCTGCCACACACCCCTGGCTCCAGCACACCTCCAAAATGCAAGTGGGAAATCAGAGTGCTCTGTTAGTGCCAGATCCATGCCACAGTGTGCACCATGGCTGTCAGGGCCAGACGGTTCAGTTTCCTTGCGTTTGATTTCTGCCTCTTAGAAATGCAACACACAAGGTAAGAAACTGTATTAATAAATGCTCTGCACATCGTTTAATAAAGACACATTAATATTTTCACTTAGAAACAGAGGAGAATAGGTTCTTTGATGACTGGACTGAATCACCACCTAATCAGAACAGGGCTCTGAGCTGTGCACCATGGTGTGTGCCCAAAGGCTTGTGAGCACCTTCCTGCAAAGCCACTGAGGCCCAGGCAGCAACTCTTCTCTCTCCTGCAGCAAAGGGGACAGGGATGTCTCCTGATGGAGTGAGCACATGAGTGACAGGGCAATTCATACATCAAGGAGAGATTCCATTTCTCCCTCCTCACTTGCCCTTGCCAATACATGGAGTCCCACCTGATTCGGATGCTGAAAAATATGTTTCAAGAAGTCATCATCACTATTGTGAGTCATGAGAGAAGAGGAGGAAATTACTCCAGGAGAGATGATTCAACTAAAGGGAGAGTTGAGACAGATGAAAACAGACAGGAGAAAGGAAGGAGCTATGGGAGCCCCACTGATTGAAAGGAGCTCAACAAAATGTGGGAGAAATTTAGAAGATTCAATTTCTCTTCCCCCATCAACTTCCTCGTTTCCAGATTTTGTTGTTAGTACCACAAATCCAAAATGTCAAGAATTTACATGGAGACTGGGTGTAAAAGTCTGCTCCACCTGAGAGTGCACTCTGAAGGAGTCCTCTTAAAAGACTGATTTAGGTCAAGGGTTCATTGTTTCCACTATAAAGACAGCACCATGTGCTGTTACCTAACCAGCACTGCCAGAATCACTCCTGTGACAGGCGAGTCCTTCACAGCACACCAGAGAGTCCTGCCCAAAAACCCAACAAAAAAGAAAGACAGTTGGAAGACAAACAAGGTTATTTGTACCACAGGCACAGTTCAACCCTTGATCTAGCACCAAAAGATGCACAAACTCTCTATAAGTCTGTGTGACTCAGAGCAAAGGGCAAAGAAAAACAGTGTGACTTGATGAGCTGAAATTCAAATGTCACAGTGGAACCACTCAGCACATCACGCTGTGTAACTCAGGGTTATTACCCTGTGCATCCCATGGGAGCCACGTGCTGTCCAGGTGTGGATCAAGATTGCTACAACCTTCTCTCACCTGTGTCTTCTTCCAGCATCTATAGGTGCTGCACATCTCTGGAACATTTAATATGATATATGCTCAAGTATGCACACAAACTATATGAGCACAAGGATGCAAGTTCATGTTAAGAAGAATATTGGTCTCCCTGATTTTCACTTCCACAATCCCAAATGCAGTGCTGACAGTTTACACCTCTTTAGTCCCACTTCAGCTCCTTCCATTCAAGCTAAAACACTTTGTGTGAGTCCCAAGCAGGATCATTCTTTACTTCCCAGAGTAAGAAATTGGGTAAACAGCATTCTTCTTCACCCAAGTTCCTACAGCCACCATCTTTGTCAGGCACTGTGGACAACCTCACACCATCTGGACACTCAGGCCAGATTTTGAGCACCCTTGACTGAGGTCCTGCCTTGAGTCTTGAGACTCCCCTAGCCCACATGGGTGTCCTGTGATTCCTGCTGCATACATTCTCCCAACCACTTCTTACTCACTGTGGAGAAAGGTCACTTCCAAACCCTCACTGCCTTAGTTACACCTCAGTTACTGCAACATCCCTTCTCTCACCTCAGCACATTTCCCCTCTCTCAGGTTGAAAGGTGACCAGGTGTTTTTGGCTGCAGTGCCTCTGTGGACACATCAGCTGTGTTACCTGCTCCAAGGCTTCCCCTCGTCCATCACCCTGCAGACACCCTTCCAGTGCATCCAGCTGGCCACACTGCCAAATGCCCATTGTACAATGCCAGTTGATGAAATTGTGTTTCAGAGAGGACATCTCAGCTCCTGGAGGGGAAGTATCCACCCCCCTCTGCAGTGGAGAAGGCTGTCCCCCTCTCCAGGAAGGCAATTACCTGTCTCTGCCCCAGCAGCAGAGCATGGCCGTGCTGCCACCCTGCCATAGCCACTGCTGGGTTTTACTGAGCAGCACCATGGATCAGGTCACCTTCCCCCACTACAGAGAAAATGACTTAATTTAAGGAGTGTTACAAAATAGCACAATGGATTGGAAAGGTATGCAGGTACCCATGAGGGCAACCGACCCATGCAGTCACAGAGCTCAAGTCCCAGGCACCGGCACAAACCCTTCAGGCACATCATCTCCTAAACAGGAGAGGCTCCACTTGTCCAAAGCACTCCATGAGTGATAGCAGGGACACTGCAGTCCCTCTGCTTCCAGTACACCCCCAGTTGAATGACTGGATCAAACCTGCTGTCAGGCTTTTGCTGTCACCTATGTTCTTGTGGCAGCACCTTCAGGTGTTTGCATGGCGGTGGGAGGAGATAAAAAGCAAGGAGGTACCTGGAGGACATCCCCACTGACACATCCTTGCCTCACATGCTCCAGATGAATCTGTCCAACTGCAGGATACAGTTCCCAGCAAAGGCCACACAATCACAGAAATCACTTTGAAGCTGAGATCACACTGCTGCAGCAGCATCAACTCTCTTGTTTAAGCTGAGCATGTCCATCAAAGGACCAGCACACAGGCCCATCTCCTTACCTTTAAAGCACGGACTTTCTTGGCCAAGAGGCTCTCAATGTCCCCCGCGACCTTCTCCACCAATTTCCTAGGCACATTCTCCTTGACTTCAAAAAGGCTTTTATTGTCATCGTAGATCTAAGAGGGGAAGCAAGAGAAAAAGACAGTCAATATTAGTGAGGAGTACAGCAGTCTTCCTACAGAAAGCTGATCCTCTAACAGAGAATTTGAGCAATTTGGATTAGGTAACAATATAAGCTTTGGAAATGAGGGGAGCAAGAGAAGAAAGGCTTTGCAACCAGAAAAAACAGAAATGCAGTCAACCTGCTGTCCACACCACTGGCTCTACAGCTGCCTGCTTTCATGCTTGCAGGCAATGGGCATCCCACCTTCTCACTCAAAAGCTGAGCTGCCCATCCCTGCCTCTGCTGAGCCACTCCTGTGGCACAGGCAGAGCCACCATGCTTTCTGCTGTGCCCTCCCTCGCCCAAGGGCATCCCCAAAGCCCACTGACCACCTCCCCAAAGCCACCTGCTGAGCTTGGCAAGTGCAAGCCCAAGTCCCTTGGCCAGGCTGTGGTGGGTAGAGGCACAAATCTATACCAGGATTATCCTGAAAGGCCAGTACAGTTATCTGTATTTGAATGTTTGCACACAAAGTGGCAGCAATGGCCCACAGGCACATCATACAACTGCAGGGAACAGCCCCAGACCCAGGAGGTGCTGTTGGCATCAGCACTGCCTCAAGAAGAAGGGATCAGTCCCACCAGAAGACTTCACAGCCACAAACCCCTCAGTCACCTCCTCAGATGATTTTGTGACTTGTTAACTCCACCTGCCTGCAACCCAGGTGCAGCCAACACAGGGTCAAAGGGAAGAGTTTATTGCCATCACCTGAAACTAGCAAAAAAAACCCCAACTCCTCAGGCCTTATCTTTTCTTGACTTGTTAACTCCACCTGCCTGCAACCCAGGTGCAGCCAACACAGGGACAAAGGGAAGAGTTTATTGCCATCATCTGAAACTAGCAAGAAAAATAAATTCCTCAGGCCTTATCTTTTCCTAAGTAAGGTACATGAAGAAAAACCACAAAGCAAATAGGATTCTGCTTCTCTCTTTATCCTCAGGCTACTTGCAAATACCTTCAGCTCCAGACATGGAGACATATGGGAACAGAGAACCTTCCAAGGAGAGCTGGACCTCCCCAGGGAGGTAGCAGACTCCACGCTTAACTGCAAATTCCATGCTAAGCATGTCTGGCACCTACCCAAGCTTGCATGATCCCTAGGAGCTGAATCATGCTTCCCACGGGACCAAACCCTCTCTTTGCTGGAGCTTCATCACAAGTGAGACTCTGTCTGTAAGTGGTGCTTTGTTGCAGACCTTGCCACGAGGACCAGGGTGGCAGAAGCAATTTCCCATGACACATCTGCTCTGGGTGTCAGAGCAGCACCCAAACACAAACACTAAACAACCAGCTTCCACATGACAAACATGTACCAGAACCTCCTCCATTTCACCCAGGACTGAGGAGAGGCTTGGCCAGAGGCACCCACCAGGCTCACACCATCACAGCTCTTTCTCTTGGTGGAGCCAGCAAAAGTAAAGGTGCAGGCAGGCAGGTGCCCAGGATCTGGATAGTGGCACATCACACAGCTCAGGCACATGATGAGACCCTCTAACATGCTGGGAACTACTTACTGCCCTCTCTTCTTTCTCCAGACCTTATAACAAACTGGAATAGACAGCAACGCCACTTGCTGAAGACAGCTGACAATGAATTCAAGAGCCAGAGCAGAGACATTCCCCAGCTCCAGTCTCCCTTTTCCTTTCATGGGTAAACAAAGCAGTTTCTGAGGCTGTCAGAGGAGTACAGTGAGAGACCAAGCCCAAGGCTGCCCTTTCAGCTGTGCACAATCCCTCCAGACCTACTGGGTTAATCTCCAGGCTTCCACTTTGCTTTTTGCAGCTCTCGCTGGGGCCCCTGCACTGCCCAAGCTCCTCCTTTCTTCCATGACATTAGGAAATTTCTAACAGCAGTCTCTTCCAGCAGCCCCGTGTCCACATATACCATTACTCCATTCTAACTCTACTCCAGCAACTGCTTTTTTCCCCCCCAGAAAGCCCCAAGGGATTCAGGTCGCCTGCCCTGGCTGCCAGAAGAGTAACCCATGCCCCACCCTCAGTGGGGCAGCACCCAAAAGGCTCAGATCTGGTAGTTCCTGAGGTTTCTGCAGAAAACAGAATTTCTGTGAATTTTCGTGGTTACTGACTTGCAAGAGCATGGCCCATGAGCCAAGAGCCAGACATGTGTGATTGTTCCTGAGGTTTCTGCAGAAAACAGAATTTCTGTGAATTTTCATGGTTACTGACTTGCAAGAGCCAAGAGCCAGACATGTGTGATCCTCATCTGACTCCTCAGTCCCTAAGAGACACATGGAGCATGGCTCCAGCACCCTCCCCAAGGCTCTGCTCTTGCCTGCTCCACACCTGCCATCCTTCAAGGAAAGGCAACCCTACAACCTGATTTGTCTGAAATGGGCTTCACCCAAATCACTTCGGTCCCAAACCACCCACACTTCACATTAATTTGGCAACCCCTGCGTGACTCTGTGGGCACAGGGACTCCAAAGAGGATGCTTTAGTAAGAGAACACATTTAAGAGGAATCCTCAGACTCAAGAAGAAATTATTTTATAGAATGGTTTGGGACCTTAAATACCATCTCATTCCAGCCCCCTGCCATGGGCAGGGACCCCTTCCACTATCCCAGGTTGCTCCAAGCCTTGTCCAACCTGGCCTTGCACATTTCCAGGGATGGGGCAGCCACAGCTTCTCTGGGCACCCTGTGCCAGGGCCTCACTACCCTCACAGTAATTAATTTCTTCCTAATATCTAATCTCAACCTCCCCTCTTTCAGTGTGAAGCCATTCCCTCTTGTCATGTCACACCATTGCCTTGCTCAAAGTCCCTCTCCAGTTTTCTCAGAGCCCCTTTAGGCAGTGGAAGGGGCTCTAAGGTCTGCCCACAGCTTTCTCTTCTCCAGGCTGAACACGCCCAGCTCTCCCAGCCTGTCTTCACAGCAGAGGTGCTCCAGCCTCTGGTGATCTGCATTGCCCTCCTCTGCTCCTCCTCCACCTGCTTCTTATGTTAAGGGTCCCAGAGCTGGATGCAGCATTCCAGGTGAGGTCTCACCAGAGCAGAGTAGAGGGCAAGAATCACTTGCCTGCCTTGACCCTTTGATGTGGCTTTTGATGTGACTCAGGATAGAATTTCTAGATGTTCTTCACATCTTCACAGAGCTCCATCACAGTCTGAGCTTCAGATCAAGAACCTTGTATTGCCAACAGCACATCCTGCACTAGAGAAGAGCACCCCACATTGGCACAGAAAGGGTTAAGCAAGGAAAGCTCGACACAAAGCAATATTCTCTCACACTCTTTTTTTCTCCCCTTGGTAAGGAACAGCACAACAAAGTCATGTGCTTGGAAGATGCAGGATACCTCCAGCTGAGCAGCAGCAATTAGGAAAGCAAAGAGGAGCAATCTTCAAGGAGAAAGCTTTGGGTACAGAGGGAGTCCTGACATTACTATTTTCCTATTATGAAACAGAATTGTCTCCTATTGGTTACGGACAGAAACGGTACCTGTCCACCGGGGAGGAAAGAACAGAAAAGGAAAGCAGGAGCTGCTCCTCCAGCCCCCTCTGCAGCTGCAGAGCTCTGCAGTCTTCCTGGCTGAACAGTTCACTGGCGTTAATTAGAACAATCCAAGACAAATTAACAGTGACCATACGTGCATGAGAACGTCCCAGACAGGCAGGGGAATGAATGGTGGGGGCTCCAGGGCTTCAGGCAATTCAGAGAACTTCACAGCCTCCACTGTAGCATTTTGCTCTGGGCTGTTCAGAACGTGGCCAGGTTTTACTTATCTAAGGTGACATTTCCCATATTGGGTTTTTCCTTGAGCTGAATCAAAGGGAGGATTTTCTGGCCAAAGACATCCTGAACATTCCTCAACGATAGCAAAAACCTTTAGTTTTGTCAAGATTAGAAAGCAATTCTCATTGAAATTCTCCTGTGATCCAGTGCTCTGGGACCTGTTTTTGAAATTAGTAACACCGGTGACCTCAGAGTCAAGGAGCTGCTGCTTGTGAGTCCACGTTCGTACCCTCGCACCCGGCTGTGCCACACCCTCGGGGAGAAGGGCTGCACCTTGTGTGCTTTTGGCAGCCTGGGTTTTACTTGGCAATGCCTTGAGCCACGAGCCCCATCCCCTCACAGCCTCCCTGCCAGGCAGGGCAGGTGGGTGGCAATGCAGGGACACCAGCAAAGCCACATGCTGCACTGCTCCAGCCACGCCGAAACAAGAAGTAACACCCTTGTGTTAGTCCTGCTCAGTGTGGCTGGCAAAGCTGAGATTGCTGGGCAGGAGAAGGGCTGTAGAGAGCCCCTGAGTTACCTACAGAGGGAGCAGCCCTCAGGCAGCACAGAGGAGGAAGCTGTTGTTCTCAGACAATGGGGATTGAGACCACATTGTGAACTGCAATCTCAATAAAAAGTCTGGGAAGGGCTGAAGATGGATGCAGTAGCAGAAGATCCAATCCTGGCAGTGGAAAGGAGTCCAGCAGTGGATGCTGAGAGTGAACTAATAAGTGGCAAGAGCAGGGGGAAGTGGGAGGGAATATTAACAGCAGACAAACAATAGAAAATACTGAGCTGAAACAAAAAAATAAAAGCAAAGAAAAAAAATAAAGCAGTGGCAGGTGGGGGGAAGAAAAATCCAACTGTTCAAGACAATCTGCAACATGAAAAATTTAATCCTAAATACTCCTAAGCATAGTGCAATTACAAACAGCCACAAAAATTATTTAAACCAGCTCAGAAGTGCTAAGTGGCCTCACTTAAGAGCAAAGCTGGTAACACAACCAACTGTCAGCACATGTTCCTAGCAGCACCTGTACAGCCAAGGAAGGAGATCTGATACTGCCTTGAAACACTCATTCTCTAAATTCACTTGTTTGCCTTGCTTCTGATGCACAATAAATGATGTTCATCTCTGCCTTTAATTCCCTCTGTGCCTATATATTCAGGGAACTGTCAGAATTCAGAGAAAGCATTTTCCTCTCCCCAATTCCCTGTG